CTGATGTTTATCAAAGCAAGTAAGCAGTGCTGATGAAATAATGCTCCCGCTGAGATACCATCAGGAGTGTGTCTGTAACAGCCCCATGAGAGCGTATATAGCTATCTAATTAAGGCTTATCTTTAAGCTATCAAACAGACAAATTTGTTCCTAACAGCAGCTAGCTGCTGATGAAACTGAAAGCATGTGAGTTGAAAATGAATTATGCACTACAGGCAATGAAAGGCATGGAAGAACATCCATTCCTATTTCACACTGACAGCTTGCTTCAGTTCTGGCTTCAAACCAGGAAAAGTTACTTACATTCCAGTGCCTTTCAAATCAGTGGGCATATATTAGTCACAACTAACTTCATCCCACTGATTTCACTGTGATTTAAGTGTGACTATATTTTAATCTGGATAGGGCTTCTATCTCAGGAATGTGACTACATCTGTACTTCTTATTTGAAGACAGGGTTCCTGGATCTGCATCAAAGAACTATAGATCAGTGAGACGTGTATGGGAAGGTCAGTTACTCCATTTTCTCTCTGAGAAGGGAGAAAATTTTCATATAATTTGCTTCCCTGATTGGATTTATTGGAAGCTGTCTCATACCTAGGTCAGCACTGTCTGCTCTGACTGGCAGCAGTATTTCAGAGTCTCAGCCAAAGATAAATACTATCATTTGCTACCTTCCTAATGGAGATGCTAGGGATAGAATCTTGAACCTTCTATATGTAATCATTGAATTATAGTCCCTCCCCATAACAAATCCAATAAAATGGAGAAGTGACCCTCTTCTCATTCACAAGGAATTGTCCAAGGAAATTTCTGTTTTTATTGTAAGCTGCCCAGAGAGCCCTTGGGCTATGGGGGGGGGGCATATACATGCAACAGACAAACAAATAAATAAATTGCATGGTCTACTCTATTGGTCATGTCACCTTTAAATAATGATGATAACAACAACCATCATCATCATCATCATCATCATCATCGAGATAGTTAAATGTAAAGGACAAAATGAACTACTTTTGACTACCAGTTTTTAAAATGGCTGCCATAAAAGTGCTATTGATCAGAATGTATTGAGATAATCACCAGTTGCAGGATAGTTATTCAAAAGTTACTACACAAAGAAGTGGTAATCAACAGCAGCTAACAATGTGGTGAACACAAATATTTGGAAGTCTAAATATTTAAATATTTGGAAATGTGTATGCTAACACAGAAAGAGGGTTAGGACACAGTTTTCAAAGAAGAGGGAAATAGGGAATGTCCCTGGCAAGCATGTGGCCCCAGAGAAATTACCTCTGGAGAAATGTGCTCTTAAGTGTGCATAGCTTGCCCACCCCTGCACTAGCCTCTCAGCCCCTTTGGGTAGGAATTGCTTATTCTTTGGAAAGTGCCACATGCACTGAGAATGCTCTGTTGCAATACCACCACCAGCAGCAGCAGCAGAAGCAGAAGCAACAATTTTAAAAGATTTTTGTGGAACGGATTTTAAGTTCTTTTAAAATATTCCATCTGTAGGTGCCACTGGATCCAAAGTCTGCGTGTGAATAAATAACCTTTCCACTGGAATAAGCTGCTTGGTGTGGTATAATCTGACTGATTCAGTCAACACCTTATGTGTTTCTGAAAAGAAAACCCTTTCTGAAAATGAAGGTATTCTCAAGTTAGCCTGACTATTGCTACTATGAATCTGTCTCTCTGAGCATCACTGGTACCTGTTCTTACTTATGGGGGTATCATTAGTGACAAGGAATAATGTTACTAGTTTTATTGTATTTATATTTTTATGGTATCAATTTTTATTATTGTACATTGATAAATTGGGGTAAATCACCTACACAGTTTTACTATTCAGAATTAAAAGTAAGAATAATGATAATGGAACAGCTTGCCCAACCTTGAACCCTCCAGGTGCTAGAGCAAAACTCACATCGTCCACAGCCAAAATGACTACAGTTCAACTTCTCTGTCCACCCCTATTGCTGCTACTGTTTGATTCCTTTTATTAACTTCTTTACAGGAACAGACATCTCCAGCCCTGGAAGCCTGCATCTGCTTGTCTACCCTGTGTTTTAAGCTGTCAACATGAACAAGGCTATTCCCTCTTCCCTCAGTAACTCATTTCATTTTGGGAAGCTTTAGGCACAGCAACTTTTCTTTAGCCTTGTTCCGGTTGTTCACTCTCCCTGTCTTGCGAACAAATGTGATTGCTCTCTGCATGTTGTCTGTTCATACTGTCATAGTAAGTACTTCACTCTCTGGTGACAAGCCTGTCCGCCGTTCCTCCATCCATGATGCAAAGAAAGGGAAGCTATAATATGGAATTACACTTCATAAGAGGTAGCGAGGGCTTGAATGGCTCTAAAAGGGGATTAGACACATTCGTGGAGGATAAGGTCCCAGTCCTGTCAATTGAAACTTTGCTGCTTGGAACATCTGGATTCAAAGGCTTTTGGGTCTCCTGAGTCTCTTTGTCCTCCATCCTGGGTGATTTTTGCTAGACAGATATTTTAGCCCATTTGAAGGGGCACTTTGGAAGGAAGGAAAGGTGGACAGATGAGGCTCAGGATAATTTGCAACCTCTCCTCTCTTCACTCTTCTCCTTTCTCACCCACTTTCCTCTTCCTCTGAGATTTATTTATTTATTTATAAAATTTGTATGCCATCCAATTACTAACATCTCTGGATGGCTAACAGCATAAATAAATTGACGACCCACTCTGGCTGCAAATTAATAAAATACAATAATAAAATTCGATACTAAAACATATTAAAATATTGATTAAATAAAAAGGTCTTAACCTGGCGCTGAAAATCATTTAATGACGGCACCAGGCTGACCTCTCTGGGGAGCGCATTCCATATTCGGGGCACCACCGCAGAGAAGGCCCTCCTCCAGGTACTCTGTCTCCTAACATCTTTCACAGAGGGTTTCCAGGAGGGTTTCTGCTGCCGATCTCAGGGGACGGGAGGGCAAATAGGGAAGAAGGCATTCCATTAGGTATGTTGGTCCCAAGCTGTTTAGGGCTTTATAGGTAATAACCAGCACCTTGAATTGGGCCCAGACTTCAATGGGAAGCCAATGGAGCTGATAGAGGACTGGGGTTATATGAGAATAACGCCCAGTCCCTGACAGCATAGTGGCAGCTCTATTTTGAACCATCTGAAGTATCTGGACTGTCTTCAAGGGCAGCCGCACATAAAGCGCATTTCAGAAATCCAACCGGGAAGTAACCAATGCTTGTGTTACTGTTGCTAGGCAATCTTCCTCCAGGTAGGGATGCAGCTGATAGATTAGCCGAAGCTGAAGGAAAGCACTCCTTGCCACCGCAGTCACTTGGGCTTCCAAGGACAGCTCCGGGTCGAGGAGCACTCCCAAGCTGCAGACCCTGTCCTTTAGAGGGAGTACAACCCCGTCCTGGGCAAGGCCCAAGTCACCTACCCAGGAGCTCGAATCACCCATCAAAAGAACCTCCATCTTATCTGGACTGAGCTTCAGTTTATTGACCCTCATTAGTTGAAAAAGAGAGGTAGAGCTGGGTGTTATCAGCATACTGATGACTTTGCAGCCCAAACCTCCTGATGACCTCTCCCAGTGGTCGCATGTAGATATTAAATAGCAAGGGGGACAAAATGGACCCCTGAGATCACTTTTCCAGCCTTGGAGAGGCAGCTGGTATGGTTCTCTCCATGCCAGTTGTGAGAGGGCGGGGTCAGGACTCTGACTCACCCTTTTGAGGGCAGGGGGACCCTTGCCCAGCAATCACAGGCTTGCTTTCTCCAGCTGTTGGGGGCTACAGATCTGTATCAGAGACAAAATGCTTGGAATAACCATGTCTAGGGTTCCTGAGCAGCAGGATGCAATTGCGCTCTTGTCCTGCTCGAGGGCTTCCCACAGGCATCTGTCTGGCTTCTGTGCATACGCAATGCTGGAAATGCTCGGATCTAATTCGGCATAGGTCTTTTTGTGTTCTTAGGGTCTCAGGCTATTTGCAGCAGCTAGCAAACAGCTTTATTAACAGACCATTTACAGCACCTTTCTACACTATAAAAGGTCAGCCTTTTACACTGTTAATGGACATGGCCACATGTCAGGAGTCCTGCTGCTGATTGTCTCTGGGCAAATGACTGTTACATCTCTTACCTAATTAGCCAGTGCATTAACACTGATAGCCTTTTATGTGCAGAGGAAAGTAAATTGGAAAGACATTATCCCACACACTCTCCTTATTAAAAGGCTTTCTGTAGCCCAAACATTTTAATTGCTGTATGCAAAGAATGTGATCTCAATGATAGTACAGATAAATTCTTATAAAATGGGATCTGAAGTGACACAGATTGCTTATACAGAAAAATCAAATTTATTATGCTTTCATCTGAACTGATGATAGCCGCACCTTATAATGGAAATATACACAGCATTATCCTGGGCAATGTTATGAAGATAATCTTAGGTTATTGATTAGTACATGTCTAACTATTTTGTTTTATCCTCTGTTTATTACACCCCTCTGCCTCTAGTTTTTCTTAGATGGTCAGTTTATCATTTTGTAAAATATTGTAGGTCAAAGCCTACTTTGCTAAGTACAGAAACTTGGAAAAATTAATTTAACTCATCCTCATTTCCCATGACTATTAAGTTTGGCCTGTGTTGTATGGTGGCTGACTTACCCCTAATATATTTGGAAAAATCACACTAGTGGGGTTGCATATTACATGTGCTTGGTGTGACTTATGGTATGAGCTCTGGATGCCACAATTCACTCAGAAGAAATGCACTCTATGCTTTATAAACTGTAGCAAAGCCTTTGACTGTGTGGGTCATGAGAAGCTACAGATGGTCCTGAAAGAACTGGGTGTGCCTGTACAACTACAGGTTACAGCTGTATAGCTACAAGAAGCTGCTGTTTGGACAGAATATGGAGAAACAGAATGGTTTCCTATAGGCAAAGGCACCCAACACGGGTGCATTTTATGTCCCTGTCTGTTTGATCTGTATGCAGAACATATAAGAAGGAATGCTGGAGTAGGATCAGATGAAGGAGTGATCATTGGTGGCAGATAAATCAAGAATTTAAGATATGCAGATGATACCATGTTACTGATAGAAAGCAGCAATCAATCGATCGATCAATCAATGGCAATGAATCCTGATGAAAACTGAAGGAAAAAATGCTGAACATTAAGAAAACAGAAATCATGACCACAGAAGAATTACAGAACTTTAAGGTAAATAATTATGAAATTGAAATTGTGAAAGATTTGGCATACCTTGGGATTAGTAATCAATTTTAATTCTAAAATGACCGAGACTCAGAAGGGTAGCAACAAAGGAACTTAAAAAGATAGTCAAGCACAATGATTTTTTGGGGAAGACAAAGGTCTTCCCAATCACTATGAATGGGTGTGAAAGCGGGACAGTGAAGATGGTTGACAGGAAAAAAGGGACGTGTTTCAAATATGGTGCTGAAGGAGAGCTTTGTAAATACCCTAGTCCAGGGGTTGGCCACCCACGGCTCCGGAGCCACATGTGGCTCTTGAATCCCTCTGCTGCGGCTCCCTTGCCCAAAACACGTGCAGGCACAGCCGCCGATCTGCGACCGAGGCTCCGAGTTACAAAATACCAATAGGTGATGATGAGGCATCCACTCAGGATTGCCACACTAGTGGGATAAGTAAATTGCAACATTCCTCTGCTAGTGTGCAGGGAAAGAGTGGAACAAGCTTCCTGCAGGCTCTCATGATGCTCAAACCCTGCTGAAAAGATTCTCTGTCCAGAGGTAATCTCCTTCCTCTGAATGATAAAGGCTGCGCTTGGGACCTGTCACAATTCACATCACTTGACTGTTTATCTGCTAATCAGTCACTAAACACACCTATATCTGCGACTTCTCCCCCCCCCCCCCCCACATTGGCCAAGCATGGATAAATCGAAGAAAAGTTTCTGAAGAAAACCAAATGTTTAATGATAAGTGGGTAGATTCATTTGCTTTTACTGCTAACGAACTTAGGAGTTTGCTGTTTAATGCATGCAGCCCTTTAGCACTGACTTTGACTCTGCAGGAAGCTCTCCTCCTATTCAAAATATAAGAAAAAAGGAGTCCTACTAGTTTATAATGTAAGATTAAAAATAACAGTTTTTAGTGACTGAACCAAGAGCTGCAGCTAAATCACAATGAAGGTATACATAGCATTAAGGTAAAAAGCAATATATGCAGTTTTATCTTCATTTTAGATGTCAAAAGGGTTTTGCAGCTCCTGGTGTTTTCTTTTGTGTGGGAAACAGGTCCAAATGGCTCTTTGAGTGTTAAAGGTTGCCCACCCCTGCCCTAGACTAATAGGTATTAGACAAGTGCTATTAGATCAAGTCAATCTAGAACTTGCTCTGAAAGCAAAAATGACAAAACTGAGACTGTTGTTCTTCGAGCACATGATCAGAAGGCAACAAACACTGGAAAGGACAATAAAGTTGGTGTGGGAAGAAGAGGAAGGTCAAGTATGAGATGGATTGATTCCATAAAGGAAGCCACAGCCTTGAGTTTACAAGAGCTGAGCAGGGCTGTCACGGACATTCTGGAGGGCTCTCATTCATAGGGTCACCATAAGTTGGAAATGACTTGACAACATATATCCACAATACTCATTTTGTCTTCGGTCAAAACTTTTTTTAGAGTTGAATCAAGTGGTTTTGCTCATCTGTGTTATTCTTATTTGCCTCTTTAGCCTTTCTATTTCAAAATCATCAATTAAAAGTACAAATTAAGATGAATAAATCTCACTTTTGCTTCTCCCCCCTATGAAGCTCTTAAATCTCAATTTCTTTGTAACCCATTTATAATGGCATTTATGAATTGTGGTAAGTTCATATAAAGGAATGGCAATGAATTGAACTAAATTCTTACCCATCTACAATAGGCTCATTCAACAGGTGTGTTTCTAGCATTAATAGTCTCATATTCTACCTGCTTGCCATATTTCTGGTAAAAACAAGCAGCTTATTTGGAAAGAGGAGCCACAAACATGGTTAACTGCACAGGTATTAAAACCCCAACTTTTAAGATCTAAGCACTCTAAAACTCTTTACTTAGATAAACACTCCTTTGCTTTTTACGGATATAGCCATGAATATTCTGTGGATAATGTCCATTACAAAAGTTGACAAATTCCAATGTTAATTAAGTCCCCTTATATTAATAAACCTTACCCCAGTTCCCTAGCCTTCCCCTCTAATTTTAATTTTAAAAATTCCTGTTTGAAAGTAAATATTATTTCACTGTACTCACAAGTAAGTTAAATTCAATGGCATTATAGTTACTTCTTCCATGACATTTGTTCAGATGGAACACACCAACTTGTATGGGTACATTATTAGTTGGATGTTTTCTATGAAACTTGACTTTTAGTGCCATTTTCCCTTTCCCTATGCACAGCTAATTTCAATCGCATAAATCTCCCTGCACATTTATACTCTCTTAGGGTTTATATCAGGTTCTATATCACCCATGAGACCAAACTATTTGAAGCTTCATTAGTATTTAGAAAGCAACTCCATTGCAGATGTACACTTGATGAATGGAGTCCCAAGTTCTGCTCAAAATGTTATTGTGAAATAGATCAGCTTCGTATCAGAGGTGCTGAAGTTTTTATTGCCCTTCCATTTCAAGTAACAGTTCCCTTGTCACAAAGGCTTCTTAACCTGAACAGAGGGCATCTTTTAGATTGACAAAATGATTTATAACTCTCATGCTGTGTCTCAAGAATATATATGTAAATCAGGAATATTTTATTGAAATGAAAATTGCTGCTGCAGCTCTTTGATGAATGAGAGCTACATATTCTAAGGAGAAATCATCTAAATTCATAAACTCTGCATGTACTTTCCTGGGAATTGCATTATGTTAATGAAGACTATTATCGATTCATAATCCTACCTAATTAAATTTGAGCAATTGCTCTACACAAGAAAACATATGCAGTTCCATTTCCTGCATGACTCGGGGAACTTTTATTCCAGACAAAACAAGGAACACACCACACTAAACTGTTGAGGGCGGCAAAGAATGTTCACTTCCTTTACTAACTACTTGGGCACCTTAAGGGAGAAGCTGAAGCCTACACATCTTTCCTGCCACTTACACTATGAAACTTACATTGTGACACCATATTGTATGAATCGTTGGCTGTGGAATTATGCAATTTCTGTAGACTCTTGCAAGGTAAACATTCCTTTGTGCAGCTAGTCCTTTTTACACTATTTCATCTACTATGTTGAGATAAATTCAAAGGTTGACTTAGCCCCAAACATTAGTGGTGTAGTCTCAGGAGTTTTGGGATAATTGAACACTTTTGGATTTTGTTTGTAATACTATTCTCACCTTTAGCCCACCCACTGTCTTTGGTACAAAGCACAATAAAAAGGATTTCTCCAGCACTGGCAACAAGGACCACTTGGCTGTGAAAGAACATAAATTGCTAGTGTATTGGACTAGGTAGGGAGATCACCAAGTAGCCTGCACTGTCTTTTTCACCTTTCACTAAAGAGCTGCCTTTGCAAAACAGCAGCGCATTTTTACTGAATAGTGCATAAATAGCTCTCTTTGCATTTCTCATCTTTGTCCAGGTTTCTGTGCTGACAGGCATACCAGCCTTGTAAACAAAGTCGTAAAATGGTGCGGACTAGGAGCATGGAGGAAGAAGCACTGTGTGGCTTATCAGTAGCGATGTCCGAAGTACTATCCATAAGTCTTGTGACATTGGCAATGACACATCTCAAGTAGCATACCCTGATAATGGCAATAGCCACTAGCTTGGGCAGCAGGTGGGGAATCCACATTTTTCTAGCTTCAAGTATTTCTTGTGTGTGTGGCTAGGATGATACAATATCCCTGCAAGGAAAGTACTTCCTTGATGTCTGAGCCGAATCAAGCAAATGCATTACATAAAAAAGATCAACTGGGAAATATTTATTTTAAACACATGTCTTCTGCAATTACTGTAAACGCAAGAGTGATCTGTGCTTGGCGAAGTCCATCCTGACAGTGCAGGCTTGAGGAAAACTGATACAGATACTAAATTTCCTTGCCGCAGCAATGACATTCAATCCCTATCAGCCTAAGCCATGTTCAAGCCAGTGAGGTGAAAGGCTATTTGTATCCTGTTACCAATCTTCCTGAGCCACACAGGCCTTCTATTAATCCGGTTACCATAAGCCAATTTGTTTCTTTATAATGAATTGTGACTTACAGTAATACGAATGTATAAGGCTGAACTAGACAGGATGTGCAGCCAACTCAAAACACACAGCAAGAAGGATTTGAACCTAATTCCTGTCTGTATAATATTAAGTCTGACTTCACCCCTACTTTTTAAAACCCACTGATCATTTTTATTTCTAAGAAAAAAGGATTATTTCTTCTGTGTTTTTGTTACTACCTCTTAAACAAAAAAAGGAAATATTCCACACTAAGCAATGCAGCTCCCACAGGTGACAGTGTGCCAATGTGCCATGGCCATCTCTTCGAATGTCTACCAGACTTCCTGCCCTCCTGCTTTGTTTTGCTATTCTTATTCTTTATTAACTAGATTGGTAGCATGTTGCAAGACAAAATGTTGCCTTTCAGCACCATTTTGATTGCTGTGAATGCTGTTTTCTTTGAAATGACAATGGCGAGGCTGCTTCAGTTCACTTTGTCTAAGCAGTTAGAAAAAAGGGGAATGCTGAAATGGGGGTGCTAGGGTGAATTGGGGTGCTAGAAAGGGCATATTACTTTTTGTGAGTGTGTGGGGGTAATGAGTTCAATCCAGATATGTCCAATCCATAAACAAAGTACACCCATTCAATGGTACTTAAATTACTCATGATTTACTTGCCACATATATTTCAATGGGCCTACTTTAAACATGCTGACATCTGAATATACCACTGCGTACTTGTTTGCTTTTTTTAGTGCAGGTGTGTGGTATGAGAAGGTATTTGCTTGTGTGTGCATGCATTTTTTGTGTTTCTCTGGGTACCTGCAAGTTTTTCCCTTGGAAATGTGTATTTTGTTGTGCTTTGTGGGAGCAACAGAAGAAAGTCACACATGTTTGGCATTCAGGGCTCAGACCCCTCCTCTGACACATACTCAGTTGATTGGTTGAGTTTGTCTTCTGTGAAAGGAATTTTGGAGCAGAAAGCTGTTGATTCAAAAGAGAAATTTTGTTTTGGAATTCAGATTCCACTTCTGCTTTGTACCAAGGTCCTTGGACATGTAGCTTTTCTTTAATTCTTCCCTTGCTCCCTGGGAAATAGGTGTTTTCTGCCAGGACCACAGCACCATGGCAGCTGTTCCCAAGTGGGTAAACCTGCCATGAGAGCCATTTTCTGAGAAGATCTCTCAAATGACCAGATGTACCCATTAATCCAAAAAGCGTGGGAACACCCTGCTTATGTGAGAAAAGGAGGAAATGGTTACTAGGACTCAGTCCATTAGTCATGAAAAATCCTATTTACATGACTGCACACTGCACCAGTTGTGCTCTTGAGGTCCTCTCATTCAGTTCAAGGGACCTTTACAGGAGAATATCCCAATGACGTTGACTCCTAACTATGCATGTCAAACCTCAAGTTGTATTGTCCACTATAATGGACAAATCAGCTGTCCAGCCACCGGCTGTGCCTGGGCAGGAAAATATCTTTAAGCTTAGAAAGATTTTTTGATTGTGTGGCAAGCTGGAAAATGAAATAGATATGCAACTCAGACTTGCTTCTAGCAGTCCAAATATATTATGCAACCAAGGGGTTAAGTTAAAGATTAAACATCAAGAGCTTTGGAGATGTCACCCTAAATAATTTCAACTAAGAATAATGAAGGTTTAAATTGGCTTAGCATCAAGTCAGACAACTGAGGTCAAGAAAATAGGTCACCAGGATGTTGTGTTGCTCCCTGCAAGAGCTGTGGCGATGAGATCCACAGTTTAGAGCCAGGTTCAGAATAGAGATTTGAAGACTTAATGAAATACTTGTAGTCGTGGCAGGCATTAGATTACACCCACCAATGTATTCTGGAACAGGGAGACAATGGCTAATCTCCATTCTGCAGACATAAAGAGCCACAGCAAATCGAGGCTTGTCCCTTGCCTCAGGCAAAGCACACAGGTTCTTGTACCCTTTGGTCTAGTATAAAAAGTTTTTAATATAAACAACCTACCAAACTTCTTCCAAGGGAATTTAAATCTGAGTAAATGCTGTGCTCCAGACCTTTGAACATCTCTGAGACATGGGAGTTAGTGTAATAATATGAATCCAACCTGCTTAGTCCAGTTTTTTAGAGAAAATAACTGGAAGCCCTGTCAAAATGTTCAGAATCTAACTGCTGTGACTGATACGGCAGAAAAGTGCTCAAGCCAAGGGGTGAGAAGGGCACAGATGGAGTGCTGTAAGCACAAGAACTGACTGGAGGAATACCTGCAGAGAAAGCAGCCTGCAAAGTAAGCCATATGGAACACAATGGGACTTGTGTCCAATTGATCATGCATGGAATTGTGTTAAAGAATGACCAATACCATCAAATGGAACTTCAAATGATGTTCTGGCACAGGGTCCAATACTCACAGCATTTCCCAACCTGGGAGTTTCCAGTTGTGCTGGGCTGCAACTTCCATCATCCCCAGTCATCAGGCTACTGTAAATTATGGGGGTTATAGTCTAGCACATCTGAAGAGTACCAGTTTGGGGAAGGCTGTCTTACATGTTCAGAAACCTAGCACAGTAATAATTGCATTTTCATTCACTTGCAGTGACATCTCTGCAGGTAGGGTACTTCATCATTGGTGTAGGGCATTTTATTCCATGAACTATCTTATTCCAATTATATGGATGAATGTGTTGATTTTAGAAAATATCCTTTTGACTCTGCACATGCTTCTTACTTGCAGCGCTGATAATATTTTACCTTGAGATGATAGATAGTGTAAGGAATGTAAAGGAAATCCTGCAAGTGAAGCCATGAGGCATTTAACTGATGCTTTACTGAGGCTTCCTCTTCTATTTTCTTTGCATTTTTACTCACGGTTTTTCTTTCCAGAGGTTTTCTTTTCTGTTCCTATCTATTCCATTACATCACAACATGGCACACTGAGCAGAATTTACATAACACTTCAATAGCAAATAATGGTGTTGATACAGGAAAAAGCTGCATTATCCTCACTCTAAAAATAGCCACAAAGCTATGCAAAAAAAACGGCTGGAAAACGCAGGAGGAGGGTGACATTGTGTAAAGGACTTACAGACATCTGTGAGTTGAGGAATCACAAGTGCACAATAAAGGTCTTGCATAGCAAAAGCATTTGCGAGAAGATTCAGTGAACTGCAATTGAAGGAATTAATCAGGAATCATCTATAAGCATGGTGCTTGAATGACAAAATATCTTCATAAGGATTTGTGGCATGAGTTCCAAGAACCTATGGAGGCAAAATGTTCACACTGGCTCACAGCTGTTTTTTTAAGAACCATGTGATTGAATTTTTCTTCATGGTATTAGTGCAGTGACACATAAGGGAAAGTCTATATCTACACAGTTCATCCTTAGAGTATTCTGGAACTAGAACCTAAGTCACTCACATGCAATGCACATTCCCAGATAAGTGCACTTGGGCTCAGTTCTTCAAGTGTAGTAACTGTAGCTTTGAGAAGAACGTTCTTTTGGTTTATCTCCAAATATGCTACGCATGTTTCTAATTATTTCTTTCTTCTCTTGTTTTTGTTTGTTTGTTTTTTATGTCCTCCATTAAACAGTTTAAATATTTATATGTTTCATTATCCTTCTTTCTAGTCATGCAGCTTACGACAGCCTTCTTTCAGGAGACGTAGTACAGAAGATTAAAAGAGTGCAGGTTGGAGAAGGCTATCCACAAAGCAACACACATGTTTACACGGTGAGTGGATTGTTCCTCTGGTAGCTCATTTAACTTGAGAAGTTCAGTGAGGAATAAATATCCCTCAATACTAAGAGCATTGACTGAGATTGATTTGTTAAATATACAAAGTCATGGTGCAGTGTTTTATTTAATCCTATTTTTAAAGCTGGACTACCACAATACATTAGAATTATATGTGAATGAATAACTTTCAGAGCTGGCAAAGATGCTTTATTTGAAAGCAAACCTAAAGGTTTAAAAGCCATCCCATGCTGGGTTTTTTGGAGTGGGGAAATTATGGGTTAATTGTGCAATCTTCTCATGCTTTATAATTGGAAGCAAGCTCCACTGAAGTTCAGTGGAACTTACTCCCACTCAAATCTGAAGATCCAGTGCAGGTTTTGGAGAAACAAAAGTGCAGGCAGGCATTTCACAGAACTGGTTCTTCTCAAATCACTGGCCTGTTCATAAATTTTGGGTTCTCTCCAGCCTGAACATTTAGCAATTGTGACTAGTGGCCATTGATAGCATATCCTCCGTTATTTCTTTCTTCTAATGCTCATGGTCCACTCACATAGCTTCAGTGATTTGGAACAGATATGCTTAGCACTCTGTCATCTATTGTATAAAACTAACTCCCTTTGTGCATTAATTATTTGAAGGGTGCCTGCCATTCCTCTGGCATTATTCCAATGTTGCACACCTTTCTTGATTCATTCCCATCCCCATGACTCCTTTCATTGACCCTTTTTTCCTCTATATGGAGAAGTGCATCTTCCAGATACTTGTACCCAATTCTCAGTAACTCTTATACTATTTGCAGAAAAGGCTCCTAATTTCAAAAGGAAGATCTATACACTCTAAATCTTTTTAATTTAGTGTGAACCAGTTATTGCATCACTCTTCCAGCCAAACCCTTTCATGCCAAGAAGGTGGGCAGGATTTCCCTCAATGGAAAATTTGTGTCTACAAAACTACTTAGAAGGCCAGACTGAAAGTGTTGCTCAAAGTTATGGAAAAAAAGTTGTGGTTTCTCCACAGGAAGTCTGTGATGCTGTTTATATGTGAACAAGTCTTTCAGCAAGCTGCAGGTGATGCCATGATAGTAATGAACATTCAAACTTTTCATATAGAGTTATTACCTTCTGTGTAAAATGGAAGATAACTTGCCTCATTGAAGACAGTATTTACCACATACTGTTTTAGGATTAAGTGTATTAAAAGTTATTGGGTTTTAAAAAATAAAATAGCTTGCTGTGCTAGTCATTTGGAGCACTCTACAGTCTTTGTGTTTTATCACCAAGCCTTCATGCAGGCATTTGATAGGAAGCAAGTCCACTTTGTATCACATTACAAACCCTCAGGTGTTACCAACAAGGCTAACTACATTGGGAAGAAGTCCAGCAAGTGCAAGGGACGGATTTTATGCAGACCTTCACATCATGACCCTTCTTAAGGCTTTATTATTATTATTATTAGGACATTTCTATGCCGCCCCTTGCCAAAGCCTCGGGGCGGCTTACAACACAATACAATACAATACAATATAAAAATAACAATATAAAATTAAAATACAAAAATAACAATATAAAATTAAAATTCTTTCAGTCACTCCTCACAGAACTTTGTTTCCAGTCCCCTGATCATTCTTGTTGTCCTCCTCTGAGCCTTTTGCAGTTTATCTGCATCTTTCTTGAACTGTAGTGCTTCTCATCAGCAGACCACATCCCTCTTTCCCTCCCTTTCAGTAGTCTCAAAATGAAACCTTAGAAGTACAGTTCTTTTATTGAAACTCAACTGGTTACAGTACAGTAAAAAGCAGACCAGCATTCTTTTTGAAATGTGGGAAAAACTTCTGCCCATGCAAAAAGCTGCATCCAAAATGAAACTTCTCCTCCTTCCCTCCCTTTCAGCAAAGCTTCTGCCTCCACCTTCTTGGTGGGCTCCTGTTGCTTGCAGATTTGGCAGCCGGAACACTGGACACTTTGTAATTGGTCACTTCATCCATCAGCTCTGAGTGGGTCAAGGAATTCCATCTCTGTTGCGTCTCCCACAGCTCTGAAAAGTCTCCCTCCCTTTCCCAGGCAGGCTGCTTCTCATACTCTGCCTGATAAACTTCACTAGAAACCATCAAGTCCTCCCCTTGCCTGCTCCTCAACCTCCACCTCAGTACCAGGCGACTATCTGAGCAGATTATGATGTGTGAGAGACAGCACTCTTCTCTACAGTGCCCAGAACTGAATGCAATACTCACTCACAAGGAGGCCTAAACTGTGCTGAAGAGAGGGGAAATAGCACTTTGCATGGTTTGGAAATGACGCTTCTTTTATTTCAGTCCAGAGTTGTACGTGCCATTTTGCAGCTATTTCAATTGTTGACTCATATTCAGCTTGTGATCTATAACAACTGTAGTATTGTTGAGACAAGTATTCCCATCATGTAACTTAAGTCAAGCTATATTATGTCCAGAACGTTCCCTCTGACCCCAGTTGTCACCACATCAAAAAAATGAGATCAAATTAATCTTGTAGGATTTGTTCTTGGCAAATTCATGTTGACTGAATCATTTATAGGTATCTGCAGACCGACTGCTTTGTAATCTTTTCCAGAATTTTCCAGAGACTGATGTCAGTCTGACTGGTTTGTAGCATCCAGGTTCCTCCACATTTCCCTTTGGAAGGTAGGATCAGCATTAGCCTTCTTCCAGTCATCTGGTACTTCATCCATCCTTCATAATTTCTCAAGAGGACTAGATGGTGGAACTGAGAATTGTTCTGTCAGTTCCTTTATAACTCTAGGAGGCAGTTCAATGGGCTTTCGAGCACTCATTCAAGGTGACGAGGTATTCTTTGAGCATGCTTATATGCTTCCAAGCCCAATTCAACATGCTCATCTTGACCTATAAACCCTACACAGCTTGCAACCTTAAGATCTATGGAATGCGCTCCCCAGAGAGGTTCGCCTGGAGCTGTCGTTCTTTGTTTTTCGGTGCCAGGCCAAGTCCTTTTTATTTAAACAATATTTTAATAACTGTTAATATTATTTATTGGTTTTAATTCTACAGCCAGGTTGAATCTGGATTTTATATGTACTATTTATATGCTTGTTTATTTATTGTATTGGAAGCTGTCCCGAGGCTCATGCGAATGGGACGGCATACAAAAACTCCAAATAAATAAATAAGATCTGATGGTGCACCTCTCCTGACTGCAATCTTTCTACCTGGACACTGAAATCTAGCTATAGGTCCTGTCTCTGAGTTCCACCTCCAAGGGAGTCTCAGGTGATGGCCATAATGACAGTCCCACTGAGCCCCACCTGGCATTCACTTTAGCATCCTTTCAGTGTCAGCTTAGAACTGCCCTCTATTATAGGATATTTAATTAGCTTATTGGGACTTTGTTAGATGCTTAAACAGGTTGTCTGATTAATTAATATAAATGCTGTAGATTTTATATACATTTAAATTTGGTTTGGGTTCTTTTTAAAAAAACCTTTTCTATGACAATCTTTTTATGTTTTTGATGTTGTTTGTATTTTTATATTGATTTTTATGTGTTAAACCACACAGAGAGCTCTGACTATTGGACAGCATAGAAAATAAATAAATAAATGCTGATGGGAGTGTTCTCATGTGTTTTATTGAGACTGCTGCTCCTGGCTGATGCCAACATTCATGATGAGTGGCTGAGGACTTCATGGTCTCCATTACAACCATGGGACTGACCCAACATGGCATTAGCCCAAACCATGTAGCAGGGCATATTCTAGGCCTGGTTTTTTCAACTGGACATGGTTGTTTGAAGGTAGGGGACTTTGGGTCAATCCCTTTGTGATGACCAGATGAGGTTTATGCTTACATTAGCTTGTCTGTTCTGCAAGAGGGCAGACCTATTAAGATGGTCTTCCCTGAGTACTAAAGGATTCAAATGGTTTCCTGAGGACTCTGGGAATTTTCTGGCTGACTTTCCTCTTGACACCCTGTCTGGTCTGCCAAATGCAGAAATGACCAAGGCAGTTGAAACAAGTGCTCTTGAATGCCCACTCCACTGTAGAGCTTTTACGGCTTTTACACTCCAGAGCTGAGAGTGATGAAGCAACTAGGAAATGGCCTGAACACAGATAGGGAAAAACCCCTAGTGCATGCTGTTGAACACTGGCGTGCACCATCGTCATGTGTATTCAGGGCCAGTAAGGTAGCAAAGAAACATCTTCTGCTTCTATCAATTCCTCTATGTGTTGCAAGCAGAGTTTTTCAAGGTCATCCATGTCCTTTTACATGCTGTTCCTAAGAACACTGTCAGTACATTTGCTGAACTCAACCAGGATAAAATATCTTACATCACTAGGTTTGGTATTCAGAACACAGACTGGTCCAGGGTTTGGTTTGGTTTGGTTTGTTTTTTTGTTTTTGTTTTTTTGGAGAGTGGGGATGAGTTTTGGTTAGTATACCTCAAGGACATTGACAAGGTGCTTGGACAGGTTTGTATAACCACTTCCATGTTTGGATCCTTATTTATTTATTTAAGATATTTGTATGCCGTCCTTTGTGAGAGTCTCAGGACAGCTTACACAAATAAAATTCCAATACATAACAGTATAACATAAATAAATAAACGACCCTTGCCCCTCTTGGCTTATAAAAATGGACAAGGAACAGTGAGAAGAAGTTGTCATGAGGCCATCTGAAAGAGGTGATAGTGATACTATTCTTGAATAAACCCTGCCTGGGCCAGGAAGATCTTAATAACTTAGGCTGATAGTAAATGCTCCTTTCTTGGGCAAGGTCCTTGAGCTGGTGCTGACTTATCAGCTCCCAGCTCTCTTGGATGATACTGATTATCTGGCTCTGTTTCGGTTGTGGTTCAGGCTGGGTTCAGCATGGAAACAGCCTTGGCCACCCTGCATGATGATCTATACTGGGGGAGCGAGAATGGTAGTGTGACCTTGATCCTTTGGCAGTTTGTGATACCATCAATCATGATATCCTTCTGGAATACCTGTTTGAGCTGGGGGTGCGGTGGGGTAATCTATTGCAGTGGTTTTGCTCTATTTGGATGATTGGCTCCAGGAGGTGATGCTTGCTTGCTTGCTTGCTTGCTTGCTTATTTATTTATGTATTTCCTGCTATTTTTCTTCAAAGGAATCCAAAGTGGCTTATATAATCTTCCTTCTCTCTTCATTGTATCCCCACAACAACCCCATGAGGTTAGGATGAAGAAATCTTGCTTAGTTCCATGGATTCCTCCACCCCAGAGTGGTTGCTTTTGTCCATGCTACTCTCTGTCTAGATGGAACTGCTGAGTGTGGCCATCTGGAGTTTAGTGTGAATTGTCATCAATATGCTGATGACAATACACTCTAAATGCAGCTCTATTTCTCTTTTTCATTCTCATCAGGCACAAGGTGGCATTGTGGGTTAAACCACTGAGCTTCTGAACTTGCTGTTTGGAAAGCCAGCAGTTCAAATCAGCATGGTGGGGTGAGCTACAGCTGCCTTGTCCCAGCTTTTGCCCACCCAGCAGTTCAAAAGTACGTAAAATTCGTGCAAGTAGATAAATGGCTACCCACCTCGGTGGGGAACTAGCAACCTGCCTGGAAGTGAGAGGTCCAGTCTGCATTGGATCTACAGCAGCAGCAGTGGAGAAGGATCTTGGAAGATGTTGACACTCCCACAGACTACCACTAGCTGTTCTGTGTGCAAACTGGCTTACCCCCTGTGGTGCACTGTGGATAGCATGCAAGCATGAACAGAAGAGCTAGCAATCTTAGGCAGCCAAACTGCAATGCATTAGCACTGTAGACTTCCTGGCTAATTGTACCAATGCCATGTGAAATAAATGAAACAATCAGGCAGTACTTTAGATGTGCTGGATAAAAGCTAATAAACTGAAACTCAATCCAAAGAAGACTCAAATGCTATTGGTGGGTGATTCTTTTGACTGGTTGGAGGGTGCTCAATATGTTCTACAGGGCGTTGCACTCCACCTGTGGCATCAGCTTTGTAGCTTGGGGGCTTACCTGGAGCCACCTTGATCACTTGGCTCAAGTGGCCTCAGTGGCAGGTGGTGCTTTCTACTAACTTTGTTGGTGGTTCAGTTATGTCCCTATTTGGATAGGGGGGAAAGGCTATAATTGTCTATGCTCTGGTAATTTCCAAGTTAGATTATTGCAAGTTAAAGGCTTTTACAATGGGTGGTCTTTAAAGATGGTTCAGAAACTGCAACTCATTAAAAATGTGGCAATTGGATTGATGCAGAGAAAGTCTTAACCTGTAAGATTGATTTTAACCCACTTGTATTGGCTGCCTATTTGTTTCTGAGCCTGATTTAAAGTGCTGGTTTTGATGTATAAAGTTTTACATAGCTCAGGACTGGAATACTTTATGAACTGCTTCTCCTGGCATGAACCTACCTGCACATTATGTCCATTATCTAAGGCTCTCCTCCAGGTACTTTCTTTGTAGGGTGCATGGAAGGGGGCAATGAAGGAAAGGTCTTTCTAGGTGGGTCGTTATAGTTGTTGTGTGCTGTCATGGTCTCTCCAAAGCTATGAATGAAAGCCCTCCAGAATGTCAGCCCTGCCCATCTCTTGTAAATTCAAGTGTATGGATTCTGTTATGGAATCAATTCATCTAATATTTGATTTTCCTTTTTTCTTCTGCCTTCAACTTTCCTTAGCACGGTTGTCTTCTTCAGGCAGTCTTGCCTTCTTGTGATGTGCTGAAAATATGACAGCCCCAGTTTTGTCATTTTTGCTTCTTGGAAAAGTTCTGGTTTGATTTGATCTAGAATTTACTTAATTATCTTTCTGTACATTCCAGGCCACGTAAGTTCACAAAGTACTGCAGGTTTACCCATTTCATTTCTTACTTTATGGTTACCAGTTTGCCTTGATTCATGCTTCTCATGTTCTATATTCTGATTCTATGTATTATGAGGCATTGGGCTTTCCTTTTGCCACTCTGCATGTCAGTCACTAGACTTCCTTTTGGCTTTGATCTAGTTGCCTCGTTCACGACAGCATACTTGTCATTTGTTCTTCCCTAGTCGCTCACCGACTGTCTTTTGGCCTGGGAGTCTCATCTTCTGGAACTATCTCTTGTTTCACTTTGGATTGTTTCATCATAGGGCTTTCAAAGTAAGAAGATTCTGAAGTGGTTTACCGTTACCTTCTCTGAACAATACTAACTGGTGTTAGTGTAAGCATCACTGCTGTTGTCTGTGAAAGATCACCTGCCAATGTTGCCTTCAACTATTGCTGCTGCCCAGTAGCTGCCGTTCAAGAGTTTCTCCATTCCCATCATCAGTAGAGATAATCATTCTCTTCTGCTGATGTGACCATTAGTCTGGAAGAGGGTCAATGCATCCTAGTATTGGTGTCTCTGCCATCGCCATTCTACCTTAGGTGACCCTGGTAGGAGACCAACTTAGCAAGATAGTGTGGCCTCTTGGCAGCATTGCTCTTGGCGTCTCTGACATTCTCAAACTCCTTCACCATGTTAAAGAGGACATTATTGGGGATGTGCCCAACCCTCAGTCATGGAATGCTGTTCCTGATAAAGCTTCCTTGGCACCAAGTTCTTTTGGATGGCAGGCTAAGATCTTCCTTTTTCAGGCATGTAGCAGCATAGGATGAACTTGTAATCAGATACTAGATCATTCTTATTGTTGATTGTCTCAAATTGTTTTAAGTATACATATATCTCTGTACATGCTGTTTGTTTATAAGCAAATGATTTTTGCAACATATTTTTAAAGATTTAATCTGTAAATCGGTCAGAGAGCACCAGCTATTGGGCAATATAGAAATGTAATAAGTTAAAAATGAGATGAATATAACCATAGATGCAGCTGATTAAAAAACCACTTTGTAGAGAAGAGCAAGTACACCTGAAGGGAATGTTTGAACAGGATGTGACAAGACCATGTCGGCTACCCACATCTGATGTCAATACTTTCTTTTAGCCATGCTCCCAGTGCCAACACATTTAGGTGACCATTTTAGGCCAGTTTTCAAAAGATGTTTGCAAGTCCAGGGTGGCTTAATTAGGTACATGGGTATTGGAGACAAAACAAGATAGCAAAGTCTTTCACTTTGTGTGTCTTACATGCATAGCCCATTTCCTGAGATTCATTTTTTCTAGTATTGCAATTTTCACAGGACTTTAAAAAAGGCTATGCAGATTTGAGTAGGTTCAGTTCTCACTGCTATTGTTAAACTCCAATAATGAACAAGAAATGGGCCACAACTTTCAGGCCTTTCCAAGTAGATGCAAAACTTTCTTCTCCCCAGAGTAGGGGATAAGGTGTAAGAACTGTCATGTCACTCTAATGTTCCTTTAATCTTTTTGCAAAATTGTTAAAGGTAGCATATTGCTGTGTGGAGAGCACAAACCTGCCTTCCAAATTTCCCCTCTACTCATTCTCAGTAATGATTGGTGTGGGTGGCTGGGTGGGTGTTGTGTGTGTGTGAAGGCTGTGGGAGTTTCCAATAACATATTCCTTTAAGTTGCCAAGCCTGGCAGGTGTTCTCTTGCCATATTTCTTCCTCAAGAGAGGCTAGTAAGGATCTGTCAGGGAGAATGTATGTTCGGATCCACACAGAAGATGCCATGCTCAAATCTCAGCAGTTTATTGACAAGATCACCCAGGAACCCCTTTGGCAGAGACAAAATACAACAGCGATGGCAGGTAGCCAGTATACCTAACTACAAGTTCCTAGAGCATACACAGAATGTTTTACAGCTCGTGGGTTACATACACAGTTTCAAGACAGTGATGAGATTCTGAATGGGTGAGGAGGCAAGGACAATGGGGAAAAATACAGAAACACTGAGAAATCAGTACAGGTATCAGGAAAAACATCATGCTCCATCAAAGGCCTGAGGAACAGATAACAAACCAATCGGGAGTTTCAGAAATCTAACAGGTTTAAAATGTGGTTTTTGCAATCAGAGATACAGAATTCCTTATTTATGCATTTATTTATTTAAAATGTTTTTATCCCATCCTTTCCAATAATGGCTTAGGACAGCTTACAAGACAAAGTATGAGGTGCCTTGGTATTTTTACATTGCAAAGGAAGCACAGCTTTCTCCATGGCTAGGAGCTTGTCTCATTCCTCAAGAAAATGCATGAATAATCCAGCACCTGGGAGTGCCTGCTTTTCCCAGGCAGTGTGGAGCTGAGAGAAAAGTTCTAGACCCCTTGGGTGGGAAGGAGCAAGGGCACTGCTGCCAGATTTTATATTAAAGGACAAATAAAAGCATATCTTTTTATCTGAGGATTTATTTGGACTTTCCCAACAGTTCATCATGTTGTATTTCATCCTTCATGGGTAAAATTGGGCGCAGTGGTAGAGCACATGCTTTGTAGGCAGAAGGTCCCAGTTTCAATCCCCAACATTTCTGGGAAGGAAAGGAGACACTCTTGCTTGAAGTCATGGACAGATGCTGCCAGTCAGGGTGAACAAAACTAAACTTGATGAATCTGTTTAGTAATCTGACTCAGTATAAGGCAACTTCATGTGTTCCAACTAAGTGGGATAGTGTTGCTGTCTTTGGCTGTCATCATGCAAGGCATTTTGCATGTTTGCATCATCAGTGGAAAGCACTGCTGAAGAGTGCTTGGACTACAAGGGGGAGTGCTTTCACTGTTATACTTCAAAGGCATAATTTGCATTTTTAACTTTTTTTTTCGTGAAGTAAACAGCAAAGAAGTTAAGATTCTGGCTCTGGTCCCGTGACTGTTTCAGAAGCCTCCTCATCTACTACAGGAGTTTCCTGTTTGTAGTTGCAAAGATACAGTTTTGCAGTTCAAGAACCCAAATTGACTCAACATTGGGCCAAGAAAAAAGAGCTCGCGGAACCTCTAAGGTTCTAAATGTGAAAGTCCATTTCATTTTCTATTTGAGTGAAAGTGTCTTTCTTAAGGAGCATGAAAGAGAAAGGTATGTATTTCTTCTTCATACTGGCAATTTTGTAGCTAAGCATCTTCCAAATGTTTACGAATCTTACAGCAGATTACTCAATGTCTCAGCATTTATATTAATAAAGCTTGATGACTAGACATTATCATCTTCATGAACCTTTGCTAATCTCTAGTTAAACAGTTGAAAAATCCATTAATATTTGTTAGATAAAATGCATTTTTGTACTTTATATTGCGATTTATCCAAGGGATCACTACTTTATGCTGTATCTTTTATTTTCTGAAGCATGTGTACTGAATATTAAAAACTCAATTAAATGTGATTAATTATCATTTTGGGATCCCTTTCCAGTGATTCAAACCTATCTTAAAGCTGCACAAAGGTGAATACATTATTTATAAGGATGCAAAATTATTTTGCTGCTTTATGGATTTGTTTTTGGTAAGGGTCAGTGCCACGGAACCTTATTTATATTTCAAGACATTTGGGAAGAACATTTTTATTTTCACTCATAGTCAATGGCAGAATGTGAAAAATGACAGCACTGAGCATTTCTCCTTTAAGTATGCTGGCAGCGAGAGAGAATAAATTGTAACGTCTAATGGCAGTCTTGCAATTCAAAGCACTGGGATTCCCGGAGGTGTAGATCTCCTTACAAAGCTCTGTAAAAGTTTCTTAAGACTGCAGTCTTGTACGTGCTACTCAGCTGTAAGATCCACTGAGTTCGACATTGGCAGATAAGTGTGTAGAGGATTGCAGCCTTAATCCTTGATTGTTTTCAGACCACAGCTGTTTCTTATAGAATACATTGCACTTAGCAATGTGATCACCTTTTAACTTACACACGAATTTGCATCTTCATGTTGTCTTAATTATCCTGGTATATTTTGGGGTCCCCCTATTGCATAATCAGCAATAACTCTTTAAACTGGTATAAAGGGCAATAGAGTGACATCCAATGGTATGGCAGTATGTTAGAATGTGCCGAGGAGACCCTTTCTTCTTGCTCATCTCCTCCATTTTGTCTCAGTCTAACATACTGCCATGCTTTGTGTGCTGTGAAAACTTTTAGAAATCCCACTGGCCGTGGAAATGGGATCAGCTGCATGTTCTGTGCTCTATTGATTTTCCGCATAATTTCCAGACTTGTCTCACTGCAAAAGCGGCACTCCAGCAGAGACCAAATCAGCACCTGCATGGTTTTATCTGGATGTATGGGCCAAGTGGCACCTTTAGTTGCATATTGAAGCATGCATCTATGCATACATGCACCTGTGCCTAAAACAAATATGAAGTGGTTGGAATTGTTTATTTATTTATTTAAAACATTTCTATGCCGCCCCAAGGCTTTGTTGCGATGGGGCGGCATACAACACATAAATAAATACAGAAGTAATAAAATAAATACTAAAATTATACAATAAATAACATCCCCCCAGTGCATTCTCGGCTTTAAAAAAAAAACCTAGTTAATAAATAATTAACAGTTAAAATAAGTTTTAAATAAAAAGGTCTTAGCCTGGCGCCAAAAAACAAATAACAACGGAGCCAGACAGACCTCTCTGGGGAGCGCATTCCATAGATGGGGCACCACCGCAGAGAAAGCCCTCCTCCGGGTGCTCACCCTCCTAATCTCATTCACAGAGGGTTCCCGGAGGAGGGCATCTGCTGCTGACTTCAAGGGGTGGGAGGGCATATATGGGTGCAAGCTTTCCTTTAGATAACCAGGTCCCAAGCCGTTTAGGGCTTTATAGGTCATAACCAACACCTTGAATTGGGCCCGGACTTCAATCGGGAGCCAGTGGAGCTGACGGAGAACTGGAGTTATATGAGAACAACGCCCAGTCCCCGTCAGCAACCTGGCAGCTCTATTCTGCACCAACTGAAGTATCCAGACCATTTTCAAGGGTAGCCCCACGTAGAGCACATTACAGAAATCTAATCGGGAAGTTACCAGTGCGTGTGTCACTGTCGCCAGGCAGTCATGCTCTAGGAAGGGACGCAGCTGATGTATCAGCCAAAGCAAGGCGCTCCTCGCCACCACCGTCACCTGAGCTTCCAAAGACAGCTCATGGTCGCGGAGCACTCCTAAGCTGCAAACCCTGTCCCTCAGAGGGAGTGCAACCCCATTTAGGACAAGGCCCAAGTCCCCCATCCCGAGGTCTGATCTGCCCACCAACAGGACCTCCGTCTTGTCTGGATTGAGCTTCGGTTTATTGGCCTTCATCTAGCCCATTACCTTGGCCAGGCACCGGTTCAGCACAGCCACTGCCTCACCTGGATTGGTGGAAAACGAGAGGTAGAGCTGGATATCATCAGCGTACTGATGATTCTGCAGCCCACACCTCCTGATGACCTCTCCCAGTGGTTTCATGTAGATGTTAAAAAGCAAAGGGGACAAAATGGACCCCTGAGGAACTCCATGGCATAACTGCCATGGCGCAGAGCCATAGTCCCCCAGCACCACCTTCTGAAATTGGCCATTGAGATAGGAGCGGAACCACCTGGATTTTAGGACCCATTAAGCCTTTGGGCCAGTCACCAGCTCTCAGGCTAACTACCTCTTGGGTTGTTATGAGGATAAAGTAGAGAGACGAAAGATCATGTACAGAGCCTTGAACTTCTTGGAGGAAAGGCAGGATATAAGCGGAACAGATACATTAATAAAATTATGACTAAAAAGCACCATAAAGAAACTGTTTTCAAATAGGAATACTTGAAATTAAAATACCAAAGACTAAAGCAGAACTTTTATATTTCAACCTTTCTATAGTAATATCTCATTCATTTTGACTCAAAATAGTCCTATTCTGCCTGCAATGAGAACAGCTCACTCCTAGCCTAGAAACAGTTCTCCATTGCTGTTTTTGAATAATAGCTTTTTCCAAAAAATACTATTGATTTCAGCAAGGCAAACTGTTCTTCACCATGAGCAAAATCATTAGAAGCCCTAGGGGTCACACAGCTAAATGTAGAAGCAGTTGGAACCATGGATAACAGTTGAAGCTGCATAGCTTTTAATGGAATCTCCAATCTGAAAGCAAATATGTTTGTGCACAAATAACAGATATTTCTATGTTCACACACTCCAGTTCCCTGTACAGTGTGAACTCCAGGGATGCAAGCTTTTAAAGTAAGGTTCACTTTCCTTGTCACAATCTCTGAATCACAAGTTTGAAAAGAGATCTTTGGCAGATCATCCAGATCAACACCAAATCTCATTATACTATAGTAGCTTCAATCCAGAGGTGTGAACAGAATGTTGCTTGTGTTGTGGACTTTCCTGACCAGTCCTCCTCACAGCATCCTCTTGTAATCCTCAATTAGAGTTCCTTCTGAGAATCAGAGGACCCTCTAGGACAGTGTGAGAGGTGTCACTGGTTGAACTGGAAATTGTGCCGTCTGCTTATGGGAAAACAGTTAGGATCCAATGGTGCTTTTTTAAAGCACTCAGAACACAGACTGAGTTCACGTCACATAACAAACCATCATGGGTAACCAGCTTTGGTGGGTTATTGTTTCATCCAAACCCAGACCATCCCTATAGGATGGCTTGTTTTTCAGTAACAAACCACTCTGACAACTCATGGCTTGATTTAGGGGTTGCTCAATGTACAATGGCTAGTCATGTCATCTGAACCTGATTCTATCATGTGTTTTGGGGATTGACTTAAAAGCTGCTGAGCAAGGGTGGAAAATCCCCCCTACTGCTCTTCATGATTTTGCCCATGCCTGCACCAGTGACAGCCCTCCACTGATGCCCAAATGGCACCTTAGAGCCACTGTCATGAGTTCAGTGCCCTTAAAAAAATCAGTCCCAGAAAGTTGCACAACTGTGTGTGTCACTTTTAAAATTCTTAGTCTTTTTATTGCACTTTTGCAAGAATGCACTTGCATTTGGCATCTATAGGCTCACCTAGTCAATGGTCTTGTAAGCTTCAGTTACCAATGGGGAATGCATTGGGTGGCAGACTGGTAAGATATGATCGCATACACTATAGGCTAATGTTGCAACATGCCAATCTGTTAATTGAAAGATAGCAGTAAAAGAGAAAGCAGTGAAAGCAGGTGGACCAGAAGAGGATGCCAGCAATATCGCCCCCTTAATTATATAATCCTCTTGGGTTTAAATATTGAACTGACAGTTTTCAGTCCTCTTCAGCTTTATCACTTCACTGAATGCTCATCTACTCCAGAAAGGAGATAGATCACCTCCCCCACTTCTTGCAAAACATATTGCTGTGATTCCTACAGTCTCCTGACAGTTCCAAAAGACTTTGTGGAAGTTCTGAAAGGAAACCAGTGAATGGTGCTCCATTAGGAAGCAGGTGTATGTGCTGCTAGTATTGTTCCATTTTTTCTATCCCATTCTGAGACCCCTGAGAGTTTGTTTGTTTAAGTGCTGGGAATATTTATGCATTCTGGGGGACTTGAATGGGTTCTGCTTTGAAGGCCACCGTGATACCAGCTGGTAGACCAAGAGGGAGGTAGTGAGAGGGAACAATACATGGAGAGTCCAAGTTATCTGTTGGTAGCACCGTAAGTTGTTCCATTAACAAATCAGAACCCACATGGTCACTCTAGCTTAGCATGGCCTGTGGCTTTTCCCCATTATCTCAGGAATGCTCAGAACAACCTTGTATACTTTGTTGCTATGTGCAGTCAAGTCATCTCTGACTTACGTTAAAGCCCTCCAAATTATCCTATCCATAACAGCCCAGCAAATTCAAGCCTGTGGCCTCCTTTTTTGAGTCATTCCCTCTTATACTTGGTCTTCCTTTCCTTTTTCAGTCTTTGACATTCCCTAGCATGATTTTCTTCTCAAGGGAGTCTTGCCTTCTCATGATATTTAATTTATTTATTTATTTGGGAAATTTATAGGCCGTCCAACACTGTCGTCTCTGGACGGCTTACAGAATTATTCTAAACCCTAAACAAAATAAATTAGCTATTCCACAAACTAAGCATAAAACTGACATATTTAAAATAAATTAAATAAATCATATACAATTAAAATT